TGAGGATGTCATTATGAGCTGACATCAGTTAGACAACCATTGCAAAACCTCGGAGTATTGGACATCTGTTTCGTCTTAGTTTGAAACTCTTCCCAGGTTTTCCAATGGTTCTCTAACTGATATCAGCTCATGATGAAATCCTTTAACCAATCAAACAAAATTCCCTACAAAACCAATGCTTGAAAATAACATACTTTTGGTGTTATAAATCTACTCTAAATCCATTATTTTCACTAATGAGTCCTATTAATTAAAGGGGGTTCATCACATAATGAAAATGCTTTCCTTGAATTCGTATAATCTTCAGTGCAAATGCGAGGAGGTTAGATTCACCGTCAGAGTATGAGTTCGCGGTATTGTTGCACATTGTGCGTCAACTGAAATTCTGCTTTTGCAAGTTCTAGATGTGTCCATTTGTGGTGCCGTGGTACAGACAATGCGTTCAAACGGAATATTATTTTCACATATTCCCACAGTTCAATATTGCGTTAGCTACAGAATACTACATATGTTTGAGCATTCTATTTCATGTCGTTTAATGTAAGCCAAAATCACACGCTCAGTGGTTGGTTAAAGAGTACAAACTGTGTATGTATAAACACCGGATTGATCAGTGAAAAATATACCTCTGCTTCCATGTCTTGCCTTCTGCTGTTACACATTGACCATAACAGCTCTACGTTGTTTAATCATCATTATTTGTCTAGTTTTGTTTATATTTATTGGTAATTTTATCTATAATTTATCTGGGAAATCCATCAGTCATCTTTAAAACTTACTGTAATCTGTGACCTTAGCTGACATACGATTAAGCTGGGAAAGAGGGTTAGCTAGTTAGCAGTGGTCAAACCAATACATGTTAGTCAGTCATACATTTGGTTTGAGCCAGTCACCATATGATGATGAGGGGCAGACTTCCTGGTTGACGTCTTCAAGACACCTAGAACCAATTGTTTGAGACTGTTGGTGATTATGGCTCAGATGCATATTCACTCTTTATAATCTCCTAGATTGGTGCGTCGCTGGCACAGGGGTAGAATGCTCACCAACCACGTGGGTGATCCGGGGTTCGATCCCCGACCATCAACGCACTCCTTTACCTTGATAAGCCAGTAATAAGACTGGTAAAGAGGGAAGGTTGGGCATGATGCTGTCGACCCTGTTCCGTAAAAACAAACACCACTGCTACTGAAACTTCAAGTCTCTAGCTTGAAGGTTTCCTATGTTCCACTGGGAGCGTAAAGGAATAAAAGAAAATCTCCTAGATTCATTAAACTATCGTATTTTTCCAAGTTACGTCATTCCTCCACCTTCACATTTCTGTGCATTGTAGTTCTTTTAGGTTTTTCTTATTTTCTCTAACTTTGTGTGTGGTACTTGGAGAGTGGGTGATATCGCTTGAACTGTTGCACTTATATGTACGAAATTCTATGTTGAAGCTCAGTCAGCAGTCAGTCAGTCATTTTAATCTATTTGTCTATCTATCAAATTGTTTGTGTGTTTGTGTGAATACGCTTGCACACATGCATGCATGGGTGATTGATCACTCAACCTATCGATTTACTTAGGTAGTTGTTTGAGTGAGCAGTATTCAAAATCCTAATATATTTATACTATTCAGTTAATTTCATATTTATAAATATTTGCACAATAATTTATTATCTCCTTGTTGTGTTATTTTACTTTCAATGCACAATATTTTAAAAGTGTGTTGTGTCATTAGCACACTAGTGTGTGTCACACACTACTTGTCAGTATTATTAAAACAAACTTTTGTTCGCTATAGGAGTAGTTTTTATGTTGTTAGGTATTTCTATGTATCCTCTCTCTCTCTTCCACTGATGATAAATATTGCTTACTGGTGATTTCATTCACTCTTATTATTCCCCTTTTATATGAATATGAATAAAGCAAGAATAACAACAGTTTGTGCAGAATAATAAGATCATACTGTGGTGAGTGCTACTTATAATCGGAAATAAGTAGTATATCAGTAAGCGATTTCAGAAAAGTAACAATATATTTTGGACTAATTTATGTACCTAAAATGAGTCTCATCGGTGTTTTCTTCCTTTCAATACCATCATTGCTTATTTCATTCACTTCTCATCAGCTACATACAACCGAGAGAAATCAATTAGGTTTATATACAGAGAAATTTTAACCTATTTGCAAATGTTATGTGTAATTTTCTATAGTTTGGTTTGTAAGGGTTAGTTATGCTTTTACGAGTTGATCAAGGATTGATATCAGTTAGAGAACCATTGAAAACCAGCCACAGGGAGTGCTGGACAGCTGTTTCATCCTAATTTGGAAATCGTTGGCAGTACCCACCCACTGGGATTCATACCCAGGATGGAGTTTCCTGGAGTTCTAGTGAGAAGTTGTGACCAGTGAGGTCCATCCAAATGTCACGTGTGAGGATGGATGTCCAACCGACGACACTGGTTTGGGGTCGCGCTAAATCACGAATTAGTAGAAGTCGGAATTCACGTGCTGGCTATTGAATCGGGTCCCAGTGGCTGAATGGTATATGAGCTTGACATGTAACCGGAAGGTCCTGGGTTCGAACCTGGGTGGTAGGTGCGTACTGCCGATGACTCCCAAACTAGAGTGAAACAGCTGTCCAGTAGTCCCTGGTTTTCAATGGTTATGTGTAATGTCAGTGGATGGTGCAAACTCCAAACTTAATGAATAGTGCTCAGCAAATTGCACATATATATGTAAAACAGTTAGTTCCCTTTATGAATTTGGCCAAAGCAATAAGAAGACGTAATTTGTCTGAATCGTGTAATGTATTTGCGCGCACAACCCATTTCGAACAATCTGATCACACACGGAGCTGTCATAGGAATATATATGAAATTAATAAAGAGTTAAGAGGTGAGGAAATAAATTTAGCTCAGGTTTAGAGGATATATTAATGGTCAAAATAACAATGACGATCACTAAACCAAATAAGGGAGGTAATAGTACATCTACCCTCGCTGGTATCAAAACAAAGTTTACGAAGGAGGGTTTCGTGCGATGATGAATTGTTGCTTTGAACGCATAAATGTGGTTTAAACTTTCCAATTGCTAGGGCTTCCACAAACTTCACGTTACGCCGGAAACACTTTCTATAGGTAGGTTTAAAAAACGTGTAGACATCAATTCTATGTCCTGTCTCTATAATATATTTCGCAGTAGAAGAGCTAGGTCTTCTGTTCTCACCATTTAATGGATTCTGGGGATTCTATATGCTTCTAAATATAGTTTTTACCCAGGAATTCTAGTTTAAACAAAAATAAATGCTTAAATACAATGACAAAAAAAAGTTATGTAATAAAAACAAGAGGCGGCTGAGATAAATGAGTAACTAATAAATTTCGTAGCAAGATGTTAGTGAGTTCAACGCAAATCATAGCCACAAGAGACGAGCAAAGTTATACGCTATATAAAAGGGTGAGGGGCTTAAAGCCACAGATTATGTAATCAAATGAAAGAGAGAATGACGACATCCAGTTACCAGAGCAAGGAAAGACTGATAACAGCTTCTTTGTGAACACCCAAAATCAGGTTCCATGCGTTTGATAGCGATTTCTTCGACAAACTTGAGGAGAATTGAACTATTTTGTCTATTGACATAATTGTGAAGGATTTCGTGATGTTTCATCTTATGACTCGTTTAGATGAGATGTCTTGCAATAACACGATTGTAAACATTTGTTCCCTTGAAAAGTAGAGTTTTCGGTACATGTTCTAGAAATCGGTGTGGCATTCTTTCTGTTCTCCCAATAAAACTGCTACCACAGATACATGTATATTCGCATACACACACACAATGCTAACATTTCGATTGCACCAAAGAGTGTGTTGTCCTATAAGTTTTTGAATTGAACTCACCACCTTGTTACTAAATGTTTTTATAAGTTTCTCATCTTATTCAACTCGCGGCTTTATTACGTAACTCTTGCGATTTTATTCAAGCATTTATTTTTGTTGTCGATAAAAAACTTGAACTGCCTGAGTCGCAAATAGGATGAAATGCGCGTTGTCCTGGATTCCACTGCTAGTCACCATCCACCAATTGACTCCAAGTGACATGACCAGACATCATCGAAGCATCTGCATAAGGAACCGACATATCAACCTGAGACCGAGCACTTCAGCCCAATCTATCAACGGGAAAATCTAAATATAATTAAATCACTGTGTATAAGTTATTTGCGTGTAATTTCTGGGAAGTTTGGAGCCTCCTGTCAATTGACATTGTGTAACATCTGAGTTCGGGGGAGGGTGTATGTTAAAATTGTTCCGTTTCCCCTTAAGAATTTCCTCAGACTGTATGTAGCTTATGAGAAGCTGAGCAAATAAATAATGGTACTGTAACGACAGAAGACAAGGGCAAGGCAACAAATCGTTTATTGAGGAAATCAAGAGGTATTTAAAGATTTTTTATGTGCATTATTATTAGCTTGATTGTTAGCAGATAAGCAACGTCTTCTGATTGGTTGTTTTCTTGCTGAAGGTTATTCTGTCATCTCTTTGTGTCCGTTTCTTAGAAAGTTAGGCCACATATATCTGCGAATCGTATTTGCACACGTTAGGTCTGCTGTGAGTTCCTCAAGGTTAAGCTTTGTTTTTGTTTTTTCTCATAACCACCGCCATTCGGGACGTAAACATTGACGTAAATTGCTGTCTACCAATTTTGGCTAGCAGACAGTTCTCACCACAGTACCACTATATTCTTCACAAACTGCTGTGCTTGCTTTACTACTGGTGATTCTTGTCATTCAGTGATGTTTTCTGTCTTAATCATTGTCGGTGTGTATTTGTGTGTGTGGGTGTTTGTTAAGCCGATCACCATGAGATCCACTGTGTTGTTAGAAATATCACAGATTTCTAGCACAAAGTTTTCTGTTTATCATAAAATTATTATTATCATTACATGGTTAATCAATTGATCATATTTTTACATATTTTTGTCTTATTTTTCTGTTGTTTTTTGTGTTTTACAGTCAATTTGGATCGAATTCATCAACATGTCTGTTAAATAATCGCATAAGAGCACGTTCATTGGATCATTTGATCATGGGATCACCGTCTGGCACCGGTGGGGGTGGTGGTGGCTCATCGTATTGCAAAGATAAAATTAATGAGTCCGTACAATTCTCTCGAGCTTTTAATCATATCCGATTAGATGACTCATCAATGACAATGTCACCATCAACCGCATCTTTTCGTACACCATTCTCTTTAACTTCATTAGTTTCTGCTATTCTACCGTTTAGTGTTTCACCTCAATCAGATGATAAGTCATCATCGTCAGTTAGTAAACCACCAGTCGCATCGACAACGTCATCAAACACCACTGAACCAATACGTCTACGACCAAAGTGTCCATTAGCTGCTACTGGTCTACAAGGCTTATTAGATATGCATAAAGAAGATTCTGATACCTCTAAAACACTACTTCATCGGACTTCATCATCATCATCAGCGTCATCGAAGTCAACTCCAGGCAATCAAACCACGTCGTCGTCATCCGCAGGTTCAAATACACCAAATCCACAACCACCGACATTAATTTGTCCCAACATTGTAAATCGTCCTACTCAATATACACGTCCATCACGTGGCAGTAATTTAACAGAGATTACTGAAGAGTCTGGCTCACCTCCGAAATCTCAGGAGTCATTATCACAACAACTACAGCAACAACAAGAAACACAACAGATTCATGAATCACAAGAGTAGTTTTGTAGCGTTCTTTTTTTTGCATCGATGACCAACTATCAACTATCACAACCGTGTGCCTGTGTGTTCTTTTTTTTTATCACAGTTTACTACAGTCTTTCATTAAGAATTCCTTGTTCCAGTTGGTTCCTTTTTTGTGTTTGGCCTTGCACACAACACATTCATCTATCTATCCATGTATCCGTTGATGAATAAAACATGGAAGAAACTAGTGGAATATTTTGTTAGTTAGAGATCATGTATAGTGGTTTGTTAGTCACTCTCTTTCTGTTTATCATTCCTGTCGTTAATACGTACATGCATAGATACATACATACTTCTTCTTGTATTTTGTGCACATCTGTGAATACTATTAGTTGGGTGGTAGTGGTAGTAGTGACCTCCGCCCCCTCTTTGATGATTGTTATTTATTTATTTTGTTTAGCTTTCGTTATCAAAGCCCATCATCATGTTGTGTTATACACTGACTCACATTATTGGGCTTGACGTGTGTTTGTGTATGTTTGTGTTTATGTGTATACATACCCTCCCCCTCCTCGCCATTGCATAAAACTGAGTTGATGATTCCCAAATTTCTATTGTTTCATCACTTCGATTATTATTTTTATGTTTATTCTTTCTTACTACTAATAGTAGTATAGAAATAGTTACTGCATTTGTGTACTTACTATTCAATCGTCAAGCTACTACTACATGCTTACAGTTCATGTTGTATAATTCTCTTCTTGTTTTTCTTCCTCTTCAAATTTTACTACTGAAACAAACAGTCAGATAAACTCACTTTTACCACTCGGATCATCCTTTTTTGTAGTAATATTTGTAACAATAATAATAGCGTGTACAACACCAGTGCATCAACAATAATAATGATGATAATGACTTTGAGATAGTTATGTTGAACCATCATTGTTTGCTTGCTTGTTTTTTAAGAGAAATTATTTAGCTCTGCAAAGATTGATTCTGCTAGCTATATCGTTTCTTTGTTTTTCCGTAAAGTTCTTCTTGTTCATCAGAATCATTATTCTCATCATTAAATATATTCGCCAGTAACAGTAAGAGTTGCTTACCTGCTGCTTGCCTCGTTTACTTTACTACCTTATTACCTGTTTAAGTTAAGTTGACTTTGTTGTGCGCTGTATTTATGCGTGTGTCTGACTGACTGACTGAGTGAGCGGGTAGGCGTCTGTTTGTTGTATAATTTTCTCTCTCTTTGTGTTATATAACCATCATCATTAATAAACCCAGTGAATTCATTCTAGTTTTTCCTTCTTTTACACACAAGCACACCCATTCAGCCTTCACACACATATAAAGAACCATCTACGGCAAAGCTAAACTATACGCGGTCCCAAAGGATGCGAATGCATGAGTGACCCCGAGTCGACCAATCATAAAAATAAGTGATTTTTGCAAGAAAATGCATGAAAATACATTGAAAAGGGTATTTTTCTCTGACATGACTTGAAAATTTATCCCAGTTATAATGAGGAGTATCAGTCGCTAAGTTAGACTAGTTTCTGTACATGTATTCACCCTGGTGGTGACTTCAGGTGTGGCTTATTTAGTGACTCGTTTATCGCTCTTATCCTGTGTTTTTGCAGTCTTTCCCAAAAGCCCTCGGTTGAGTTACAATGGTTTCAAGTATGAGGATCGACGATTGCTTACTAGGAAAATGTGCAGAGTAAAAGAAATTGAAATAAATAATACCAACTCCAAACCTTATCCCTAATCGTAACCCTAGCACCTTAATCCTAACCCTAACGAGCCATTAACACATTGTTCAAACAGTACTTAAAAATGTGATCGGGGTGAAATTTACATCTTAAATCATGAATGGCGTTCACACATAGGCGTTATAATAGTGGTAAGGCCCGTTATCCAACAACTAGTATGCGTTCATGGTCATTACAGCGTTCACATCCCTTGGACCCCTGTAGTTCAACTTCGCCCCAACTAAAGTTAATTCATAATGTTGGTTGTTGTCATTGTGTTTTTGTATTTAGATTATAGGATTTGTGCGGATTTGGGTTAATTCAATTTCAATTATCATATTACGTCGTCACATGAACCAACATCAGTTACAGAGGTCATCGAAAACTGGGAAGGGGACACACTGAGCAGTAGCTATTTCGTCTAGTAGTGCGCGCATCCAGGGATTGAATCTGGGACCTTCAAGTTGCGACACCCCAAGCTCTTTGGTCATTTAGCCAGCCATTTGGGCTGGTGGCATTCAATGACTCTTGAATTCTAACTTTTGTCAACTCCGTGCTATAGAGTCGCCCCCTCACCACAATAACTTTGATGAACATCTGCTTCATCTGGATATATGATGGACCCCACTGGCGACGACTTCTCAGTGCAGCTTCAGAACACTTATCCAGTAGCTATCAATGAGCTGAGAGATTGATGTGTAGATTATGCGATTTGAATTTCAGTCACTAGATTTCGTCACGAACCAAACGTTTGGTTGAATTGGTAGGCACATCCGATCTAGTAACATACGCAGTGGTCACGAGTATCGATTTTCAGTCACCAGAGTATACAACACCTGTCTGATTCACCAGTCCTCTACTTGATCACGAGGACCCAGCGAGATCAGTTGGAAAAGACTATATTTACACCAGGAGGCGATCATGTATGCAAGAGACATAGAATGCATACACTGATCAATGGTGTTGGCGTTATAAAAGCCTTGTCTGTCCATCTACCTATCTCTGATTGGTCCATTTTTCAGACATGATATCGATTGATTCACATATTAGTCTTTTTTCTACCAAATGATTGGTAGCATGTTCGTGTCCACTACACTACTTTGGTTGGATTTTGAAGAACTTGTATTGTGTGTAGTTAGTGTGTAATATAATTATTAAATAATAAATTAAAGTCTTTGCTTTTCTACCTTTTCTATTCAGAAGAAAACTAGTCTAACTGTTTTCAGATACATTTTTATGTCAAACCTTGAGTCCAAGTTGTGAAGTGTGAAAGTTAGCCTATTTTAAGAACGTGTAGTAAGCTCGCAAAAGGGTAGGGGAAAGTTCTACGAGAGACTTGCAACTCCACCTCTCAAGAGAAACAGCACCGTCGGTACAGCGACTTCAAAATAACTTGAAGCTGTATATTCCACCGGGAACGCAAAAGAATGAAGTGATTGTATTATTATTGCTTTGCGTTCCGAGAGGAACACAGAACTTCGACAGAACAGCTCCATTTCATCATATTCTCTACAGTTGTCTTTATCTGGCTCTATAGTTGGCCATTATTCTCATCTCTTTGTCACACAATCTCCTCCATGTCACCCTCGGACCCACGCTAAACTCGTTGTTTCCACTACTTGTTCCACTTGAGTTTCTTCCTGATGTAACTCAACGGCTTCCCCAGCGTGTATCCGATCCACCTCCATTTTATTTGGCATATTTTTTTCTTACGTCTAAGATGTGCATATTTTCCCAATTGAATTAGTATTCGTGGTTGTCTGCATACATTAATATTAAGGTGTGGATATCGTGTCTTTTGACAGCCAATTTATGATCATGAATGCAAAGACGAAGAGGGTGTGCACTTTGACCAATGCTACGTTCTTCATATTTCCTGCGATTTAACTTGTAGGTGGTGTTGTCTACATCTTCTTTCTCTCCGTTGAGACTAAACACCAAAAATGAAAGAGAATTTCTAGAAACCTGGTATCCAACTGAATCGGCAATCATCAACAGATACATTAACATAGACAGGATCTACCATTCCATAAAAAATAAATCACACGAACAATAGGTCAATTTTCAGGTCAATATAAGTGGACTAGAGGATGACAAAATATCCACAGACAACCAATAACATTCAAGGTTGCTAGGAGAGATTGTAACGACAGAAGACAAGGGCCAGGCAACAAATCGTTTATTGAGAAAATCAACAGATATTTATAGATTTTTATGTACATTATTATTCGTTATTGTTAGCAGAAAGGCAGCGTCTTCTGATTGGTTGTTTTCTTGCTGAAGGTTATTCTATCATCTCCTAGCGGCTGTTTCTTAGAAAGTTAGGCCGTATATCTGCGAATCGTATTCGCACACGTCAAGTCTGCTGTGCTTGGTTGTTGAGTTAGTCTTTGTTCTTGTTTTTTCTCGTGACCACCGCGATTCGGGACGTAAACATTGACGTAAATTGCTGTCTACCAATTTTGGCTAGCAGACAGCTCTCACTACAAGATAATTGATAAATTCATGGAGGAGTTTAGAAGCTTAGGATACGCTGAGGATGTTGTCTAGTAAGACAATAAGAGTTCCTCAATTAAATCATCCAGCTCAGGAAACTCAACTACACCATGAGCATATTACAGGATTTAATTGCCTACACATATCTTATTTCTCAAAGTCAATGCTGACAAGACACATAGTGAAAACACAGTGAAAAAATTAGCTTAAAACTTTGCATTTCTGAAATACAAAAAAGACAGTACAGTTATATAAAAAGCCAATAAGTGCAAAATAGTTGTCGTTCATTCAAGTAATAACAAATATATCGATTAATATTAAAAAATGTGAAATAAAGTGTCCAATGAGTTACATTTACACGTATATTAGGTGATGATGAAATGAAATATAATATATAAACCTCAAATTTGGAGGTGTCTGTCCAATGCAAATACAACAAAGCTGTGTCATCAAAGGTGATCCACATGTCGATGGAACAGCGCGTGGTTACCTGACAAAGAATAAAAATTCAAACAAACAATATTCAACAGAGAACTACTAATAAGTAAAAAATAAACAGCAGATAACTTTTAAGTAATTAAAAGTAATTAGTTTATATCAAATAGAGTATTAATGCATTAAATGAGTTAAACTTCAATAGGAAACAAAGTCTTGGGTATGGAGTAAAGAAAATATAAACTCATGCTACTTACTGCTTATAAGTAGTATAAATTGAACAAACGAAAAAAAGGCAGAGAAGAAAGGAATTAACAGGCCGGCCATCGTTGATGTCTATTTGGCGCATTTAACTTATAGTGTACTTGAGTGTAGAATTTTTCTCACAAATCCGGAACAATGATATGTTTAACGAAACCGAATCATTGAGTAACGCGTAAAATCCAAAAACGGAGAATTTGTCTAAAAAACAGCACTGTATTATGCGTAGCATATATGAACCTTTGTAGGGGACTGTCTGGCGAGCTCAATAAAATAACAAGTATGTAAATTAAAATCCAATCAATGAGATGATAGTGTAACAATATACTATGAAAAATACAGTAATGAGTTATATTAATTAAGCGGTTACTTGAATATACAGTTAAAGACCACAGCTACAAATTATTAATATAATCTACAGAAGCGTTCACTGCTAGAATCGTTTCTACTGGTTGAAGCTGTGCACCAGTTGTAGAATAGTCTTCGGATGAGGATAAGAGATTCCTGCATAAAACCAAAGTTTACAACTCGGTTTTGAGTGAAGCAAGTAGACAATATAGACCAGTGAGAAGACGAAGCGACCAACAGTTCACTGTATTTTTGATTGTACTCAGAGGTTATCTATATTCCAACATGAATCGTTTTAAACGACAGTCACGTACAATGTCTCTAATTTCAACATCTAACAATAAAGTGTACAATCATATTGTTACGTACTCCACACCTTAAATTGACAAGGTGATTGAGCTGAATGCTGTTAAATGCATTGTCACTATGCATCAGTAAGAAAAATAACAAAGCTGTGTTAAAGGTGATATACGTGGGAATACAAACAATGTGCTACTGTACATGTCAAGGATCATAACGATTTGAATAAACAATTTGTAAGAAAGAGTGATATATTAGGAGGAAATGTACATCAAATTCAGTTTAAACATAAAAGATAATTACGCCAAATTGAATTGAATATTTGTACAATAACTGAGATAAATTCCAACCGAAACCAGTAACTATGGTTACGGAGTTGTAGAATGGTGAATAAAATATAATCTCCTACCACTGAATAGGAATGAGTAGAATAAAGTTGGACATAAATGAAAAGCTGTTATAAAATCGAAAAAAACGGAATTCAAGTTTGATCACCGATCTATGTTAGCCAGAAAACCATCTGGAAGAAGTGGACAGCTGTTTTGTCCCAGTTCGAGACTCTTTAGCAGTACACATCCACGATCGCAACGGAGATTGGACAAAGAACTTTCAGGTTACTATTTCAAGCTCGTAGACCATAGAGTCTCTTGTCTGGAAGGGGCAGTCCATGGATTCTAACTTCTGTCCTTTCGA